ACTCTTATTATTAATAATAAGAATTATTACTATTTTTTAATTTATTTAATTTTTTAAATTTTTAATTTAATTGCTTTAGAGTGTTCAGGTATATTTTATTCCATTATTAATGGCTGAAATTATGATTATGATACATATTATCAAATTAAGCCACTGAGAGAAAACCACACAATTCGGTATGTATAGCGGCATAAGGGCAATTTATCTGTAAGCAATAGCTAGTTTCAGTTTAGTTTTATTTCGTTTAGTTTAATTTCGCTTTACATTGCGAATTGCAAGACATTGCAAAACCAAATATTAATTTATGGGCATATAACTACGAATTAAGAAGAGGCCCAACATGTATGGAATTCTTACGAATTAATGAGCTAATTTTCTACGATTAAACTTATATCAACAGCCTGAGCACCTGCCTCACAGACTTTACTAAATATATTATGCAATCCTCATAATATCTAAATCTAAGCCAAGTTTAATTTCTCTCTCTCTCTCTCTCTCTCTCTCTCTCTCTCTCTCTCTCTCGCTCTTCAATCACCTTTTTACGACATTCCGATTAATTAGCTTACCTTTGAATTGGACTTTACGCAAATATTTGAGCAAATCCGCGCCCTTCGTTGGCTTCATGGCATCGCAGAGCGAGGGCCGACCGCCGCACAAGTCACGATGCATATCCCTGTGTGTGGATTGAGTAGATTGAGCTGTCTATGGCAGGCACTCTGTGTGTGTTGAGTGGTGTGCATATAGCTTACCTCAAGGCATAGGCAAATGCCATTACCGCATCGCTAACGAACTGCAACTGATCCTCAAAGTCGGTATTCTGCCGTGAGAGACGCTCCTTGGTGGTGCAGGTGCGCGTGTAGTTGTTGTAGGGTGTGCTGGTGCTGCCCGGGTAGCGGCATTGGAAGTGGTCCTCCCAGAACTCTGCAATGGCAGCTCGGTTAATTTAAAAAAAAAAATCTCTCCAGGCCGCGCACAAAGGCAGCGTGGACAAATGGAATTTTTGCGTACCGACGAACCAGGGATTGCGCTGGTTATTCTCCACGGTCAGGTTGAGAAAATATTCCTCGAATCCGCGCACGGGATTAGCCTGCGGCTGCACGGACAATGTGCCCTCCACCTAACCGATGAAAAAATGTAGAGAAAAAGAATAGAGAATAGATAACTTTCGGGCTCACGTCGCGTATGCGTAATTAATTTGAGTTCAGCTTTGTATGGAAACCACTCGACGTGGCACTGTGGGGCTGTGGTGCTTTGGGTGCCAAATTAATTTAGCATAGCCACGCCCTTCGTCAGGCATATGCAACGCACACATAGACAGAGAGACACCCACACACACAATTTATTTCAATTAAACCATAATTCATCATAGAGTAGCAACATTTTGTCTGGTTGGCCCTTTCGACAGTTAGCATCATTTATAAATTTGTAGTCGGTGTCATGTCGTAGCACCATCAGCCCCCACATCACTCAGCTGCTGGGCGTGGCACATCAGCAACTCGCCGAACGGCTCATTAATCACACTTTCCCGCACATTTACGCTCATAATTTCCGCTCTGGCATCGCCCATTTAGTCTAAGCTGCGTATTTTTTTTTTTTTTTTTTTTTTTGTCTTTTACATTTTTTATTTGTATTTATCTACTTGCCTCTGGCTCATAGTCATCCGAGACGAGATTTCGTGCACTCCATCCATCGGAGCCAATCCAGGAGAAGGCGCCTGTTGCATTCGCACGCCTCACCGCGCGCATCACTTGCCTCACTTCCTGGTCCGAGCCGAAAATAATGGCGCCTGCCGTGGTCGATTTTCAATTTGCCAAATTGCCGCAGCCAGATAAACAGGGAGACAGAGAGAGAGAGAGAGAGAGAGAGAGAGAGAGAGAGGAAGAGAGAGAAAATGATCAAGAATTCATTTTAATTGCATTAAATATAAGGCAAACGAATTAACATGCTGCAATCCAACCAGCCAGGGAGCCAGTCTGCTCTTCGGTTTCCCTCCTTAGCCAATTCCCTATAATTTGCTGCATATTTTAATTTATTTTGCAACGTGCCTTTTCATTGTAAATGAATTGCAAATTGCATTTTCATGTTCATACATTACTCATTCATTTTTAAGAGCTCTCGACCAGAGTTCGAGCATATATGCAGAGTAAAGTTTTAAATTTTGTACATCGAAAATTCAAGCACCTAAATTTGTTTATCTTTATCTTCCCTTTTAACCAAATAAAAAGCATACACTTAATTTTAGTCAAGTAATAAAAATTTTCTGAAAAAGGGGATAAAACTCTTTAGTCATCATAGCAACTGCAAATATTTTCTCTCTATGAGAGAGCCATGAACTTGGCACTATATTTACTATTTATTTAACAGCTTCTGGCTAAAATGAGGAAATTCAGCGAATATTATAAATATGAATATGTTTATTTATTTCAATCTTTTTATACCTTGAACTCATTGAAAATGGAAAATCAGGGTATAATGGTTTTGTTAAAATGTATATAACAGACAGACAGCTTCTGTCATAAATTCGCTAGAAGACATAAATTAAGAGCATTTATATTTCTGTGAATTATATGAATATGTTTTCTATTTCGTGATTAATCTACCAGAAAAATAATTTCTCTATAAATTATATGAGTTCAAACTTTTGCCCAATGAAAACATGATTAAAATAATGCCATGGAAATAATTCCAAAGCATATTTATTTAAATAAAGAAATTCATACTCAAAATACTTTTTCAGTAGCTGCCGAAAAATTACTCGAATTTATCTATAATAATGTATATATTAAAATGACCAAATTGAACATAAAATATTTGCTCAATATATTATAAAAAACCAACAAAAATAATGCTTTCTCCTATATTCAAAAACGATTTGTGATAAATGCCATTACATTTGCTGGTTTAGTCCAAAACTAAACATAGTTCAACTAACAAAATCTCCTATCAAGTGAAATAAATTCTCATCGTAAAATGGAAAATCTAGCGAGAATGTAAAAAATACGAATCTGTGAATTCCAATTCAATTCGATTTCATTTAATTTTATTTCTATTTTATTTGCAAGTTAACGCATTTCCATTTCCTGCCCTAGCAGCGATTTTATTGCCGAAACTTTTTGACATTTAACATGACAAATATTTCGGCCAAAAAAAGCATAAAATAATTTTTCAATCAAATTTCAAATGGCAGCACAAACTCCGTCAATCATACGCCCTGTGGTACGCTTTTATCATAAAAAAGTCATTGAATTTGATTTGTGTACCCTGTACTTAGAAAGTGAGCTTAAAAGGTATGACGATTATGATTATTTATGATTATAATNATTTATTATTATTATTATTATTTTTTTTTTTTTCTAAAAATCATTTGAAAATTCACTTTGGCTTAGAGTATCTCTGCGTATGTATATAGCCATTAAATCTTGTATCTCGTATCTTGTATCTTCAACTTACATTTGTTGCTGCTGCCGCTGCGCTTCGCTTTGGCCGGCCTCTCTCTGTGTCTCTATCTCTGTCTCCGTCTCTGTCTCTATTGCTCTGTCTGCCTGGCCTGTCGCACTTTGTGCTAACAATAAGTTTTTAAGTAGTTTGACATTTGAACTTGCATTCAGCATTTGGAGTGCAATAAAAATGCGCAGCTAGCTATGCGGAAATGAGAGATGCTGCAAAACAAATAAGCAAGCCGGGTGGGTGCAAGCCTTCGTTTGACTGCGAAATATCTCGCAATGCCACGCCCCACTACAAAAGTTGTGGTGGGGCAGGGGGAGGTGTGGCAGGCGGCAGCGGGCGGCCGAAAAAGACCAAAAAATTATAAAGACGAAGAGAGCAAAGTTTTTGTCAGCGAAAAATTGCGGCGCAGTTTATTGCAAAAGTTCATTACAGTGCAAATGTTGCTAGATTGTCACCAGGCCAGAAGCGTGCAAGGCGACTGCTGAAAAGGGGGTCTGGATGGGGAAGAGGGAAGGGGAAGGAAGATGCTTCGTTGCTTTCGCAAGCTCAAGTCAGCTTTTTGTCTCTCGCCACTTGTTTAATTATAAAGTGCGAAAAATGCTTGCATACTTTTCGGCTGACACTGATGAAGCGCAGGTGATGCCACGCCTCATGATACCCTCTGACCCGGTTGGGTGGGTGGTTACCCAGGCCCACTAGGAGAATGTCCGTACACTCGCCAACTGCTAGGTAGTTAATACTACTTCTATTCTTTTTYTTTTTTTTTGTTATATTATTTATTTACTTCGAGTGCAGAAGCAGGAGCAAAAGTTCGCAGTTTGTCTGGCAAACTAATTTGCATTTTCTCATCAACGCAGCCGCCTGCATAGCTAATAAGTGGAGAAGGATGGCAGGAAAGAGAGAGAAAGAGACAGAGAGCGTTGATAAATAAAGAGCGCTGTGATTTTGCATAGTTAGCGAAGCATAGCTGAGCTGTGAAGCATTTAGCGCACACGTCAATCATACGACATGTGGTCCAGCCTGGACACAAACCATGGATCAAACTGTCCCCTCGTCCTTTGACACAGCCGGATTCATTCATTTATCATTAGACGTTAGCAAAATTGTTGCCTTGATAAATGAAGTGCTTAAAGGCCGTATTTTTTCGTAGATTCTCTTTTTTTGGGTTGTTTTATACCCTGCAATCATTTCGAAAATAGGAAATCAGGGTATAATGGTTTTGATGAAATGTATGTAATAGGCAGACCCCACAAAGTATATATTCTTGATCAGGGCAACGAGCAACGAGCAACGAGCAACGAGTCGATGTAGTCCTGTCTATCTGTGCATCTGCTCGTCTGACCGTCCGTATGTCCGTATGCTTGAACGCGGCGATCTCTGAGAGTTTAATAAATATACCATCCGTCGAGTGTCATATCAGCTTCTGTCATAAATTCGCTAGAAGATTTCCATTTCGTAAGCAATGAAGATAAATTTTTCCACACACTTTATATTAGTCAGTGCTTGGCATTAATGTACCTGATACCGAGTCTTGTAGCATTCAGCTTTTGTCATGCAGCTGCCTTAACTCAAGTTTTAGGCAAATATTATCAATATTTCCACATGTTTCATAGATGTCGGTAAGTACTTATCTAGGAGTTATCGAAATCGAGTATTGCTTATCGAGATTGATTGTTTGACAAGCTGATGGCTTTGACATCGATGTACCTTACATCGAGTCTCGTAGCATTCAGATTTTGTCATGCAGCTGCCTTAACTTAAGTTTCAAGCAAATATTATCAATATTTCCACATTTATGTCAGTAGTAGTTATCTAGTTATCTAGGAGTTATCGAAATGTTACTTATCGAAATTGATTAGTTAATAAACTGATGGCTTTGACGCTAATGCACTTTACATCGAGTCTCGTAGCATTCAGCTTTTGTCATGCAGCTGCCTTAACTCAAGCTTGAAGCAAATAGGATCAATATTTCCACATGTTTCATAGATGTCGATAAATAGATATCGAAATCGATAAATAGTTATCGGAATAGATAAATAGTTATCGGAATCGATAAATAGTTATCGGAATCGATAAATAGTTATCGAAATTGATCGGTTGATAAACTGATGGCTTTGACATCGATGTACCTTACATCGAGTCTCGTAGCATTCAGCTTTTGTCATGCAGCTGCCCTCACTCTAGTTGTTGCCACATTCGCTAGAAGAGTTGGCCAACACTTTCTAAGGCATTCATGGGGCTATGCTTTTTTTTTAAACTAGCAATTATGACAAATATTTCTCATAGAGTGTCGTAGCATTCAGCTTTTGTCATACAGCTGCCTTAACTGAAGCTTGAAGCAAATAGGATCAATATTTCCACATGTTTCATGGATGTCGATAAATAGCTAACGAAATCGATAAATAGTTATCGAAACGGATCGGTTGATAAATGGCGTCGCATTGATGTACATTATATTGGCTTCGCATTGATGTACATTATATCGAGTTTCGTAGCATTCAGCTTTTGTCATGTAGCTGCTCTCACTCTAGTTTTTGCCACATTCACTAGAAGAGTTGGCCCACACTTTCTAAGGCATTCATGGGGCTATGCTTTTTTTCTGAACAAGCAATTTATGACAAATATTTCCACAAGAAAGTTTCATGGAGTGTCGTAGCATTCAGCTTTTGTCATGCAGCTGCCCTCACTCTAGTTTTTGCCACATACACTAGAAGAGTTTGGATACAGTTTCAGAGGTATTCATGGGACTAAGCTTCTTTTCTGAAAGAACAAATTATTATCATTATTTCCATACATTTTATTAATGCACCTTCCATCGCGTCTCGTAGCATTCAGCTTTTGTCATGTAGCTGCCTTAACTACATCTGTGGTTTCGTTTTTTATTATAATGGGTTCAGGGGATTTCGTAGTCGAGCAGTTCCGACTAGAGCTTTCTTACTTGTTCTGTTATTATTTTCTTTTGTTTTATGGTCAAATTATGTAAATTTTCTTCCATTTCCCAAAATGTCAAGTGAAATTGCTTTGATAAAGCGCACAAAAAGGTGTGCTAAGCGTCCTTGATTAATGTTCCACAAATGATTCGAAAAACCCAAAGCCAAATTGAAATGTTTTGCTAACTAAATTAATTTCTACTATTTGGCTTTTCTTGTCGAGAAGAGAAAATTTGCGCTTGTGCTATTTCACTAATTCTAAACTGGATTAAAGTATTTGATTGACTAATGAAAGGAAAATAATATATATATTTATCTATATTATTGTTGCCCGAGATATATAACATTTGTTAGACCTAAAGAATTCACTAAACGAGCTCAAAGTACAAACTAGTTTAGGTAGTA